TGTCAAGGGGGTGTTGTAGGTGACATTTGTTAAAATTAGAGTCAATTTTCAAACATTTAAATCCAGCCACCCTTATGATTAAGAATGTGTATGAAGCTGGGCATGGTGGTGCACACCTGTGATCCCAGAGGCTTGGGAGGCTAAGACAGGACAATCAAAAGTTCAAAATCAGCCTCAGCAACTGCAAAGCGCTAAGCAACTCAGTGAGATCCTATCTCTAAATAAAAAATATAAAATAGGGTTGGGGATGTGGCTCAGTAATTGAGTGCCCCTAAGTTCAATCCCCAGGACCCCCCCACCAGAAAAACATGTATGAATGGTGCACCCCTGTAATGCCAGCGATTTGGGAGGCTGAGGCAGAAGGGTTGCAAGTTCAAGGGCAGCTTCAGCAACTTAGTGAGGCCCTAAACAATTTAGCAAGATTCTGTGCCAGAATAAAGAAAAAAGAAGAAGAAGAAAAAAAGAAGAACTGGGAATGTGGGTCAGTGATTAATCACCCCTGAATTCAATCCTCAGTACCAAAAAAAAAAAAAAAAAAGAAAGAAAGAAAGAAAAGAAAAAAAAAAGAAAGAAAAAGAATGTCTGTGAAGGAAAACTGATGTTTATTGTTCCTCTTTGGATTGCTTGTATATTGCTTATATGCATTACATCCCTCTGTAAGACTCCATTTGTGAATATGCCAGGTTGGCAGACTTGGCATAGTGAGGTGGGTTTGCAACAATAGACATGGAAATTCATCATTCCATTAGCTCCCCACTATAGATTAAGGATCCAGGTCCTACAGAATCTTAAAACCCCCAGTGAAGTGAGAGCTGAATTTAATGCTGTACATGAAATTATTTGAAAATAACAGTGAATGATGCACCTGGCTGATATTATTTCTTTAAAATTCATTTTTAAAAAAGGTTTTCTCCGGAATTTAAAACTTATTGAGTGTCTCAATGTATGGGGGATCATATGGTATACAAAGATGAATAATATATAATTTTTGCCCTCAATTTAGTGTAAGGGATAAATATGCATGCACATAATGATAATTCAATGCATGACATGGCACTTCAATTCCATTAACACCTACTGAGAGCTGCTCAATATGAACCAGATAGAAAATGTTAGAAGGAGCAGAGAGTAATTCTGACTGGGAAGACTAGGAAAGTGTTCTTGGAAAGTAGTTTTCCAGAGTTACATGACCACAATTTGATGATTTGATTCCAGGCAGCCAGTCCAGAGTCCATTCTCCAAAATTCGATGACTACCACCACCCAGTTTGTGGAGCTTGTGGTAAGGTGGTACCACTGAGAGGAGACAGTACAAGAAGTCACCACAACTAAACCAGGAGCTCTCCACCCTGGCTGCATATTAGGACTTTTAGGGAAGCTTCTAAAACTATGGATGCCTGAGCCTCACCCAAGATATATATTCTTTGAGCACTTTTTTTTTTTTGTACTGGAGAAAGAACCCAGGACCCTTTACCACCAAGCTACATCCTTGTACTTTTTTTGCTTTTTATTTTGATTCAAGGTTTCATGCTGTTGCCCAGGCTGGCTTCAAACTTGTGATTCTCCTGCCTCAGCCTCCCAAGTTGCTGCAATTATAGGCATGTGCTACACAGTGCCCAGCTTTTTAAGAAATCTTAATGCACAGCCAGGGTTAAGACCTACTAGGCTAGACGCTGGGGTTTATTCAGGGGAGGCAGGGATGAAAAGATAGGTTGGACCTAATAGAAATGCCATGCTAAATATGCATTTCAATTTCATTCTATAGGTGAAGGAGTCTTCACCAGGAGAGGAAAATGATAGGATCAGTATTTAGTAAGCTAAATTTAATCATTTCACAATGTATACATATATTAAAGCATCACATTGTACCCTATAAATATATACAATTTTTATTTATAGATTTATAAATAAAAAGTGTGTATGTGGTACTTGGGAATCCAACCCAGGACCTCATGTATGCTAGGCACATGCTCTACCACCGAGCTTCATCCCCAGCCCCTGTCAATTATCTCGATTATCTCTCTCTCTCTTTTGCAGTACTGGGCATTGAACCTCGGGCCTTAGCACATACAAGGCAAGCACTGTACCACTGAGCTATATTCCCAGTCCCCTTTAAAAAAAAAAACTTAAGGCAGGATCTTGCTAAGTTGTCTAGGCTGGCCTTGAACTTGTGATCCTCCTGCCTCAGCAGCCAGGCTAGTTGGGATTACAAATGTGTGTCAGCATACTTGACTTCAATTATATCTTTTTTTTTTTCTTCAGGGCGTCATGCATACTAGACAAGTGCTGTATCACTGAGGTACATCCCAGCCCCTCAACAAAATCTTAATAAAGCCAAGAAAGAAGTATTTAGACTCATTAGTCTGGCAGCAACAAGAAGGATGGGTTTGGGAGCAGATGTTAAAGGCAAGTGTAACAGTAAGAAGCATGATAGCATCCCAATGAGAAGTATGGAAGAACTCAACTAGGGCACGAAAAACAAAGGGACATTATTTATTTATTTATTCACAGTAAGGAGAATTGAACCCACAGGCATTCTATCAATGAGCTCCATCCCCAGTCCTTTTAAAAATCTGAAACAGGGTCTCACTAAGTTGCAGAGGCTGGTCTTGAACTTGCAGTTCTCCTGCCTCAGCCTCTCTAGTAGCTAGGATTACAGGAATATGCCATTGCCACGGTGCCTGGCAGGAAGGGCTACTTATGGGAGACATTTGAGAAGCAAACTCAACAGGACCTGCAGGTCAGTCAGAAGAAAGAGGTGATAAAAGGAAGGTGTGGAAGGTGAATCTTGCTCTGAGCAGGAGCGGGGATATGGAGAAGCAGCAGACTGGGGATAGAGAGGTGATTAAGAGCTTTGTGTTCTGTCACACTGAGCTTGAGGTTCCTGAGGCTCAGTCATGTGCAGGTGTTAAATGGGCAGTTGGAAAATTCTAACTACGGAGACAGGCTACAGTTCAGCTGGACAGCATTTAAACATAGGTGAAACCTGAAATTTCAGCATTTGATAAAAGGAAGAGAATGTCTGGAACTGCACATACGTAAAAAGTAAGAAAGAGGGCTCAGGAGAATACCTAAATTTAGAGAACAAGTGGGAAAAAAGACATAAATGCCAGAGACCTGGAAGAAGGTGGAGCAAAGACATGAAAAAAGAAACCAAGAAGGCCCAGGAGCAAGTGAAAAGAGTTCTAAGGTGGTGAATAATCAATAATGTCAAGTGAGTAGGCTTGAAAGAGAAGCTTGTCTTTGGTCATGAGAAGGTCACTGGCAGCCATGCAATTAAATAAACTGGAGAGGGTAACAGCAAGACCACAGTGGAACAGACAATGAGTGTGGGGGGGGCAGCAAATGTAGTTTTCCATTAAGAACTCTTGTGGAGCTGGGCATGGTGGCCTTCATCTGTAATCCCAAGAGGCTGAGGCAGGAAGCGCTAGGCCAACCTGGCCACTTAGCAAGACCCTATCTCAAAATACAAAATTTAAAAGGGCTGAAGGTGGAGCTCAGTTGTAGAGAACCCCTGGGTTCCATTTCCCCTAGGGGTGTGGGGGGGAATGAGTGGGATCCTAATACAGAGGTGACAGGTCAAGGGAAATGAGATTTGTTTTGTAGGGAACAGTTATATGTATTTTAACACTGAAGAAAAGGAGCCTGTGGAGATTAACAAGATGGAGGGGTAAAGTGATGGAGTCAATTCCTTGAGGGCTCTGAAAGAAATTCAAGAGAGAGGCCCTTCTTTCTCAGAAAGCAGAGGGAAGGCAGTCAGAGGGAGGGTAACATGCTGGGAAATTCTACTAGCTTGCCACCAAGCTGTGGAAGTTGACAAGAGACAGGGGGATGCTGAGATGACCTGGCCCTAAGCAGAGTAGGGTATGTTCCCATCTGCATACATCTGTAATCCCAGCAGCAGAGGAGACTGAGGCAGGAGGATGGAAAATTCAAAGCCAGCCTCAGCAATTTAGTGAGGCCCTAAGCAACTTAACAAGACCCTGTTTCAAAATAAAAAATACATAAAAGGGCTGGGGATGTGGCTCAGTGGTTAAGTAGCCCTGGGTTTAATCCCTGGTACAAAAAAAAGAAAAAGAAAAAGAAGAGTCAACTAGGAATAGGAATAAAAGAACTGCCCTTGGAGGGCCCACCAAGAAATTTGTTAACATGTGACGGCTCCAATCTGACATGCTGAAGTGCTAACACCGACTGCTGCTGTCTACATTGTTTTCCATGTGCTGGAATCTTTTGAGTAGGGAAAAAGTGAGCTGCCTGTTCTAAACAGCTTACCCAAATTAACTGAAGCATGAAGAAGACAAATAAATTCTCTTCTGATGTCAAAAAGTTAGAGTATCATTTAGTGTCGAAACCAAGTTATGCCTGATTATTTCCGATCCGGTAGTTAACTTTATTATCATTACATTTGGCTGAGTCATTCCTGAGCCCTAAGTAGAGACGTCCAGAGTTACCAAGTGAGAGAAAACATTATAATATTAAAATAATTAGATTGGCCACAAAAACTACCCCGGAAAGACTGCGTAGGGAAAAAACAAAAAAAAAACAAAAAAAAAAAAAAAAGAAAAAGAAAAAGAAAAATTGACAGCAAGCTCCAAAGTACTGGCAAGGGAAGAAAGCACGGAGAGCATATAGCCATACCTGGGGCCCGTGCAGAGCAGCCGAGCGTGCTAAGAAAGGCTATCAGCAGGCCCACTCCGGCTAACCAGACGGATACCGGAATCCTGCGGCGGGATGACTCTGGGGCACATCTAGGGGTTCCGCCCTTTGCCAGAGACGGGCACACCCCAAGGTCAGGGAGCATCGTTCTCAGAAAAATACAAGTTCTTCTTTGATGGAGCCCCAGAAAAGCCTTTCCTGCCCCTCCCCCTTTCCCCAAGGGCAGGGCTGAACTGAGCTGCAGAGTTGGCCGGACACTGGGTCAAGTGACACTGAGACCGACCGCACCCCACTAGCCCCGGCCGCTCTGGACCACGTGCGGACTGCGCCTGCGCGCGCCTCCCCAGTGGACTTACGCGGGAGAGGCGAGGAGGTCTCCAGGCAACTGGAATAACAGAGGCCAGCTAAAGGCGCCTGCGCGGCTGTCGTTTGCTGAAAGGTCTGGTCTCCAAAGCTAGGTCCTGGGGTTTTCCATAAGCTGGAGCGGTGCCGAGAGCCTCAGGTACCGGGAAGGGAGAGGAGACTTGGGGTCAGCACCTTGACCTCCGGAGGGCCTTAGGAGCAGGAGAGCGAGGTCTTGTCCCCCAAAGCGGAGTGCCCAGTGAGGATTCCCGCTTGACCCTCCTGGACAGAACATAACTTCCCGTTCCGAATCCAAAGCCGGCCATGGCCAGGTCAAATGGCCCCCACCTCTCAAGTTACAGGCCTTCCCCCTCTGTGCCATGAGGACTCCTTGGATAAGGAATTTTCTCAGGAGGAAAGCCTGAGAACTCTGCACTAAGCCACTGGGTTTCATTTTTCTTACCTGTAAAACGTTTAGTTTACAGGTGAAGAAACTGGGGCCAGCAAGAGGAAGTTGTTGTTCTGTGTCACAGTCTAAAACTTGACCTTCAATCCAGTGCTGTTTTACCTCTTTCATAATAACGTATGGCAGAGGCAGGGATTGGTGGAAAGGAAACCTAAGTGGCAGGAACACCTGTATCATGTTCATTTTTCTATCCTCAGGGCCTAACACAGTGTCTGACACTTGATCATCACTCACCATATGCTCACTGAAGGGAATCTCTGGCAGAATCAGCTCCACTGTCCCTAGAAAAGTTTAAAGGGAAATGTGGGCAGGGCAAATGTAGAAACAGTTTACTTTAGCAGCCGGGAGTGAACCTCAAACAAATTCTTCACATGTATCTGGTTTAAATCTTCCCTAGGCTTCAGTCCAGGCCCTGAATGGCTGGTCTCCAGTTGGCTCCACATCTGCCTGTGGGCGTTATGTTCCCACATAATAAAACGGAAGCTCCAGGGCTCCACTCAGCCAAGCAAGACCCTTATGAACAAGGTGACTCTTCCCAGCGATCCTCGATGGGGCAGAACAATTTTCAGCAGAAGCTTTTGAGCAACAAAGAACTGGCACTGTACTCTCAACCCAAATGGAACACCGGCACACCAGCCCGGAGCTACTCTTATCTCCATTATGCTGGAATTAGCCAGCGAGACATGGGCAGTGATCTCCTGGGCCAAGGAAAGGATTTGCTTTACCCAAGTTCTCAGTCTCGATATCCCAAAGCAAATGACCAGGACTTCATCCCCTTTACAAAAAAGCGAGTTGGGGTGGACCGGGCATACCCACTGAAACCCATGGTCCACCCCAAGTATCATAGTATAGGAGAGGCCAGCACTGATGGGGACCAGAATGTCTGCCTAAGAACCCCTGAGCCAAGAGAATTTACAGACAGCAATTTTGATTTGAGGAATGGGGTGAACTCATCTGTTCTTGCTGACTTGCAGCGGGAGAAGGCCAGGGCAAACCTCCGAAGGACTGAGTGGCTGCAGATCGAAAGATTGGAAGCTGCAGGGGAGAGCTTAGAGGAGGAAATTCAAAGAAAAGAGATTCTCCTGAGAGAAAAGCTGAAGAAGATAGAAGAGGAACTTAAAAGGATCCAGAAGGTAAAAGAACAGGCCAAGGGAAATGAAGACAGAGGGCTACAGAGAATGATCTTTCCCAGGAGGGAAGTTAAAGTTGATAACAGCAACACAACATACAAACCTGTTTTCTCCCCACAATTTGGGTCTGAAGAGGTATTTAGTAGAGACAGGAGAGAGGATGAAGCCTGGGGACAGCCTCAAAATTTTAGTTCATTCCAGTTCTCTGATTATAGAATCCAGAGGCTTAAAAGGGAAAGGCTGGTAGCAAGCAACAACAAAATCCGAGACCAAGCCTCAGGGCCATTAGTGGCAAAGTTCTCTCAGCCTTTGGAAGAACCAAGCAGCGATTTGGAGAGATCCACAAGAAGTTCTAGCCCATGCAGGACACCAGGCTCCTCAGGTTCCAGCTGCTCTACTGAAGAGCCAGAACTGGGCAAGTGCAGCCACTGTGGACGCAAATTTCTCTTGCTCAGGCTGGAGAGACACTCTGCCATCTGTGGCAGGATGCAGGGTTCCAAGAGGAAAGTGTTCGACTCCTCCAGGGCCCGGGCTAAAGGCACGGAGCTAGAGCAGTACTTGAATTGGAAGGGGCCAGCTGCAGTCAAGGTAATAAAAACCTTGTGGATTTGACTTTGTATATGGATCCTTGTGAGGACCTATTATGTTCTCACATAGGGAAAACTCATGTGTCTTGTAGGCTGAAGGTGGGAATTAATACTTGTTGAGCATTCATATGTGCCAGGCACCATGACAGGAGTTTTTCATGGGATTCTTACAACTCTTGTGATGGTGAAATTATCTCTCATTTTATCAGTTCAGACATCAAGGCTCAGACCTATCCTAAACACTCAAACACACACACACACACACACACACACACACACACACACACACACTCTCACACCAAGGCTTATACACGTCAAGTAACTTTCTTGAGGTCATAGTTTTAAGTGGCAGAGCCAATATCTAAATCTTGGTTGGGCTGAAAAAAATCTAGAATTAAAGAAATAGGTGCGCTTTTGGTTATAAAAGTAGTACATGTTTATACCACAGAAACTTTTTTAAAAACATGAAACACCCAAAGAAAAACTATGAAGCATTTTATGTTCATTTTCTTGGCTCCTTGCTTTTGGCAATATGCTGTCACCTTCCAAGACTAGCATCTGTCACCACTCCTTTAGCTCTATCTTTTCTTTCTAGATTAGCTTCTTAGTAAATATAAGAAGCACAACTACATTTGAATTTTTTCTCTTTTCAGAGTGTAAACACCTTGAAGGTAGGGACTTTTATTTTTATTTTTTGTACTGGAGACCTTTTGGTTTATCTGTTTTTGGTTATCTCTCAAAAAATTCCTCCTGTTAGAAAAACCAGGTTGTAAAATGTATGGGCTTCAAGACACTGACATAGTAAGTTCAGGGGAACTTCATAGATATATTTGGACAGATGTGGAGGAGATTGTCTCATAAATAACCTGATTGTCAAGGTTGTACAACTTGGTTTGTAATATGAATATTTCTAAAATGCTGACAAAACATTGTATATTAGTTTTTGTGAATATTAGAAAAATACAAAAACATGTTAAGCTATAATTATAATATCTGGGGATCATGAATTTAAAGGGGAATAGTAGTAAAGAAAATAAAGTTATCAGCGTTGGAGATCCTAGGCCATACGATTGATCTCAAAGGCCCCATTTAGCTCTAATGTTCAAGGAAAATGAAATTGTCCTCTGTATTTCTTTCTTTGCTGTGCAGGCACCTCTCTCATCTACTAGTTTATGTGTGTATTTGCTGAGGCCCTTCCAAAACTCACATTGATGTGATGGCCATTAAGAGATGTATTCAAGTTCTTTTCTCTCAGAATAGATGATCTCCCTGAAATATAGCTTCCAACACAAAGCCAACATTTTGCACCAGCAGATAATGACAGGATGGCCAGTTACTGTTCTTTCTTGATTTCTTTTTGGTTAACTCAGTAATCCACTGGGGAATCCTTTGTCCCACCATAGCAATTTATTTTTGGCCACAACCTAAAAGAATCTTGTGCTTTTTAAATTTCTAAATATAGTAGCAATGAAGCAAAAGAATTAGGTTTCTGAGGTCAAGATGCCCCACCTTTGTGAAAACGAATTTGAGGGAATGTGTTGCATTGAGGACCCCAAGACAGGACTGAGATGGACCCACTCCTGAGAATGCCTCAAGGCTTATTCCAGACTGCTTTGCCTTTGGAAGCTGTCATTCCTCTAGTGCACTCCCAAGAACAAGTGATTTTCTGGATATCCTTTTATCTTTATATTACTTGTACCTCTTGTCTACTGGAAGGTAAGCATTTGAGGCAGGAACCACACATACATCTTTGTGTTTTATGCTTACAGTGTTGAGTAAAATTAATTATGATAAATAATTAAAAGATAGATATTGTATGTTTAGGGAAGCTTCCCCTAATTTAATTCTCTTTAAGGTCCCTGGACACCATCTCTAACACTGACTCTTTTGCCGCCTTCTCTGTTTCTGTAAGAGACTTTCTTAATGGATCCTTTCTCTTTCTTTGGTAGTATTTCTCAATATTATCAAGAGCTTTTTGACCTCTATTTTTCTTCTTTTAAAGATTAATTTTAATTAATATTTGCATGCATTTAAAAAATCATATAGTACTAAAATCATCCCCAGTGCAGATCAGTGGTATCCTTCACTGACCTTTCATCCAGCCCTCATTTCTGTTACAAGGTTCTTTTGATATACATATCATATTTAGAATATTTACATATCCTAAATAAGATTATTTTCTTGATTTTCCAATATTCTGCATTATCTGGTGATTTCTTATGGAACTGCAAATTCCATAAGAATATCCTATTTCCACTGCCCTTACTTTTTTTCCACCCCTTTTCCTTCACTGTAGCTGAATCACTATTTTGGGTTTTATTCATTAGTTGGCTTTTTATCTGACCATCTACATTTTGTTCACTGATGAGAGAACAAATTTTGCCCCTGTCCACATGTACCTCGAGTTAAAAACTGACTTGTGTTTTCATTTCCTTCATCTTCTACATGTCTATCTCTAGTTTATTTTTCCTAAGAGATCCATCTGATGTCAGACATCTGTTTATGTTTTCTTAAGTGCTCAAACACCTCTCATAACATTAGCACCAGTTTTATTTTCCTAAAAAATCCCCTTTCCTCTACTCTTTCTCCTCTTGCTTCAGTCTGGACTGGCTCTTTTCCAGGCCTGGTGCAGACCTGTTTTTTAGGGGGACTTCTCTTAGCTTCTCTTCTGTGTTGGATCCTCTATTTTCAGTATCCTCTGCCTTCTTTTTTCTTGCTTTTGAAAGCTAAGAAATGTTCACAGGAGGTAAATTTTTTTGTCTTGGAATGAGTGAAAATATCTATACAATAGACTCCTATTTGACAATTTGGCTGGGTATGGAATTCTAAGTGGAGAATGATTTTATCAGAACTTTAAAGATATTTTCCACTAGCTTTTAGCATCTAGTATTTACTGTTGAGAAATCTAACACCATTTTGATTCTTGCTCCATTATATGAAATGTTTTCTTTCTTTTTTCTGAAAGCTTACAGGATCTTCTTTATTATGAAATTTTATGGTTGGGAGGATGTAGCTTAGTTGGCAGAGTGCTTGCCTTGCATGCACAAAGCACTGGGTTCAATCCCCAGAACCACCAAAGGAAAAAAAAAACTACAGATGAAATTATGATGATTATGCTAGATACACAGTAAGCCATTTCAGTCTCAAGATTTGTACTCTTCAATTCTAAAAATGTTAATTGTATTTTATTGGATAGTTTTCTCCTTGTGCTTTCTCTATTCTTTTTGGAACTCCTGTTAGCCATATGTTGGACTTCCTGTTTTCTAATTTTCTGATCTTTTCTACTTTCTATTTTGAATTTTTTTCCCATTCCAAGGAATTTTCTTGACATTATTTTATAACACTTCTACTTGATTTTTAGGTTTAGCTATGAGAGTTTTCATATATAATAGGTCTAGTTCTCTGATTGTTCCTGATTTTTTCCCCCTTTCTTTTTTGGTGGTGCTAGGGGTTGAACTGAGAGCATCATGCATGGTAGGCAAATGCCATAGTACTGAGCTACATCCCCAGCCTAGGGTCATTGCTTTTTAATAGATTCCTTTATGGACACATTCTCTTCTAAGATTCATTTTATTGATGTTTTTCTGTAAAAAGTTTTCTTCTTGTTGCTGTTTCCTGAGGTTTTCTTTATTTTACATTTTGGGGGGGTCTTTTCCTTGTTAGAGCTTTCATCAAATATCTAGTGGTCTTTGGCTGTCCATTCATATTTATGATTACATAGGCCTTGTTGACTAGGGGCCTTGTTAAGATTATCAAGCAGAATCTTATAATTGGGTGCCCCAAGGTCAGTCTGGAGGCTTTTCTCTGCACTGCTTGGTGCATTCAGAGAACGCTCCTCTTCCCTAAGAGAACACAAAAGTGATTGTTACTCTGGGAGCCGAGTTGTGGGGTGGAGGCTGACAGTTGCACAATTTGCTATATATATATCTAGTCCTTAGTCTAGTCCTTATTTTCAAGCCCAAGATTAACCCTGTTCTATACCCTGTCTGGACTTCCCAAGTCTGAAATCCATCCAGTTCAATTTCTCCAGAGGAAAAAAAACCCTGTTCTTATGTGAGGTTATTGGGAGTGTTGGATGTTCAAAGGGAGGGGAGCCCTGGGGTCTGGCATGTTTTCATCCCTGTATCTCCATGCTTCCCTTTGCCTGGTTCTTTCAAGCACTGATCCTCTCAGGTGTTCTGCTGAGAATGACTTGCCTCCTAGTATTATATTCCCTTGCAGGCCGTTGGTCTATGCCTCCATTCTGACAAATGAGTTATCACAATTGCTCCTTTTCTGTTCTCTTTGACTGTGTAGATAAACACCCTTTTTATTTCCTACTGTCTTTCACATGGAGACTCAGGAAGGAGATAAGACAAACACTACTTTGAAGGACCAGTCTTTTTTTTACATTATAGGTTGAACCTCCTCGGAAGAACAACTGGAGGCAGAAGCATGAATCTTTCATCCATACCCTCCGTCATGCACGGGAGATCCAGCAGATAATTGCCAAAGGTGGAAAACCCTCAGACTTGCATACCATCCTGCCTGCAGAAAACCCAGACTATATTCAGTGTCCTCACTGTAGCCGCCACTTTGCTCCCAAAGTGGCTGAGCGACACATTCCCAAGTGTAAGACCATTAAGAACCGTCCTCCACCTCCACGGAAGCATTATAGTTGAGCAGGCAATAATGGAAACATCCTTGAGTAGTTAAGAAGGTTCTACTACAGCAATGAACAGAAGTAGAATAATTTGATATAAAGATAAAAAGAAAACTTTGACATCACCTAGAATTGCCTGCAGAGCCAGAAACAATAAGCAAATGCTAGGCCGCAAGAGGCAGGAGGAAGACCCAGCTTTCCACTAAATTAAAATCTCTACTGTTTGCCTTATGGTTTTGCCCTAGGAACTGATGGGTGAAGACACAGAACAGCGAGCAGCCTACATTAAAGCTGTCTTCTTGAAAGCCAGACTGTGGTTTGTACTAGTGAAGTGCCTGTATTTGGTTGTACCTTTCGGTCATGGTATGTGTGTGGTTTCTGTTAATTCTTCTGGCTCTTGCAAGAAGTTGAAGTTTTGAGAGGAGTTGGGATCAGAGGACCATGATCACCCAGATGGTAACTTTTATAAAAGACAATGCAAGGGCTTTGAATCAATCCCCTTCAACACTTAACATCACCCCACAGTCTCAGCCACAAGGCATTATTAATAGAAATCTATCCTTGGCTTCCCTGGGGCATGGTCCTGGCCAAATGCCAAAAAAAGTATGTGATGTTAGGGCAGGAATTATGTCCTAAACCTTCCCTGTGTTGTTCTGTATAATAAAGGAAACATCTTTATTTACTTCACAGAGTAGGGGTGGTAGGGTACCGTGGTAGGAAGCTCATTATTCTTCTCCCTACTTGTTCTTTATTCTAATGGGTTTCATATGTTGAAAAAAAGAAAAAGGAAGAAGCTGCTAGCCCTCTGGCTATCAAATTAGGTTGTTGATTTTTTTTTTTTTTTTTGGTGCTACTGGGGATTGAACCTAGGGATGCTTTACCACTGAGAAATATCATCAGTTCTTATTATTTATTTATTTTTAAAATTTTAAATAGGGTCTCACTAAATGTCTGAGGAACTTGTGATCCTCCTGCCTCAGTATCCTTACTAGCTATGATTACAGGCATGTGGTGACCTCCACACCTGGCCTGAATGACTTTGATTCAATAAATCTACCATCAAAGCAAGCTGGGACTGTGTATAGTGTCAAATGTCCTTGCTGACTAGAGCACTGTCCAATTTCTATCTTAGAGAGTAAACTTTGAAGGGAAAAAGAGCAGATCTTTTAAATTTTCTATGAAGAATAGTGCTTAGTGCAAGTTAGGCCCTCAATTAAAGGGTTTTGAGGACTTAAAAAATTAAATATAAAGATCAGTGAGTCCTTAAGGAAAGCTCATAGGCACAATGGATATTTACTTAACCCAATATTTACATTTCCCAGGCAAGTTTAATGAGGAATACACCAAGTTCCACATTTGATATTAAGAGCAATAGATGCCAAGAATAAGCTGTGGCCATGGTTACAGAGTAGAAGCCTATGGACAGTTCTGTCCCACAGCTGTGTATTATTTGGCCTCACAGTGTTAAAATCTGACATTTAAAAACTGGAATACAGAACATCTCTTGAAAAACTGGAAACACCGAACCAGCAACCTAATGACAAATTTGGGGGGTTCAGAAAAACTGGCTCCATCAGTGGAGGTGGCAGCAGGTGGGTCCTGTGTCACTTGCCTCATCTGCCTCCCTGCACCTGGGATTGGGATCCCTGGATGAGATCATTAAGGTCCTCAAAACCCATAAACTGTGAATATGTATGTAGAGAGTGCTTTTTATAGACATGGATGCAGTAGTAATTCATTCTTAAATTGCCAAAGAAATAAAAACAATAGTCAATGCCTGGTGTTCTCTTTGATCTCTATGTTTAGACCTTGCTTATTCACTTACTAGTCTTTTAAATTTAGCTTGACTTGGATTTGGAGAAGAGGTAAGAACTTTAATTCTAAGTCTCTTCCTGGATAGGATGAGAGAAGACACAAAAATGCTGCCTGTAAATGTCTATATTTTATATTACTTTATCCAGGAAACTTTAGTCCAAGTAAACATTATAAATTTTAAAAGTTCAAAAAGTCAAGCTATGGGAAAAATCTCATGGTGGAACTCACATGGAAATTCATTTCATTTATAAGTGTGTGCAGAGATAGTATTTCTTCATATTTCATGTAGGACGGCACCTTCTGGTCAACATTTGCTTTCAGGTGATTGATGACTCTTCACACTACCCAGGAGGTAGCAGAGATTTGACGGTTGAGCTTTTCTCTTTATGTTCATGGTTCTGGGGGGTTTAATGATCAGTACATTTATTTCCATAGTTAAATATTAAAGCAATAAATGATTTCTGGCTTTGCAGCAGGAAGGACATGTTTTACTGTTGTCTGCTATGCTCTGATGCTACCATCTCTAATACTTTCTTGGAGGCCCAGAGACTGCATTGAATGGATTTGCCCAAAATACATCCTTGCTTTGGAACTGTCCTATTAGGAATGTTTTTGAATAGATGAACCAAATGAAATTTGAGTTTTAGACTTCAGCAAAATGCTTAGCCAAGAGCAGTTGTCACTTGGCTGTGCTAGGCCAGGGAGACCAAATATGGCTCAGCCTCTTTGAGGGAAAAATTTTATACACAGAAACTGAAATGATCACTTGGAAAAGCCCCCACAAGACTAAGGAGGTAAGTACAGGAAAGGACCATTCTTTTAATAACATTTTTTTCCTTCCTCTTAACTTACAGCACTGTCATTTCAAAGTTTTCATTAAAAAGTTGAAATAGCAGAAATGATTTTGTTGGCAAGATATGGAAAAGCAGCAGAGATTATTTCTGTGCAATGTTCCTTGTGCTGTTTCTGTTATAAGAACACTTATTTATTTATATAAACATTCATGGAATCAAAGATCCAGATCCAGAATGTGGGTGTTTTATCTCCAGTGATGGTGGCCATGTGCAGGCTTACTGAGGCACAGCACTAATTGAGAGTTTAAATGTTTATTTAAAACAGAAATGCCAAACCACTCCACCCTCAACCTTTCCAGCATCTGGCTAACAATAAGCTAGTTCTTCTGCAACAGTGTCAGCATAGAGGAGTAACTCAGGTTATACTGTAACTCAAAAGCAATACCTAGCACTGCATAAAGAAGAAAAGCAGGACAAAGGGGGGGGGAATCAGCTACAGGAAACCATTCAAAAGCACTTCTGCTGTCTTGACTTTCACTCTCTCCAACGCATGGCTGCCACTTCTGAACTGGTTTCTGTTTGCATAGATGTTTGGTGGGAAAAATCATGTTGTCCCAGGCACAATTTGGGAAAGTGCAATTGTCTCTAAGGCACAGAACTCAGGTTCTCAGGCAGATTACTAGCAAACCTAGACTTCCCTAGGAAATATGCTAGAGAAACTGACCAATGCGTTCCACGGCTAGGGAATGACTCTCCTCTAGAAACAAAGCAAGGGCTTTGAGCCCCCTTCAACACCATCACCCCACAGTCTCAGCAACGTACCCATATCCCTTAGCTCCAGAGCAGAAGCCAGCTCCATGATGAACACCAAAACTAGCCCTGCTGCTCAGGCCTGCTGAAATGGTGAGCATCAGGATGCAGGAACGTTGAGAGGCCAGTCAGTCCTTGAGAAACCAATGCTGCATTTATGATGAACCGAAAACCAACTGTCAGGGTTTATAGCAAACCCTCAGATCTTGTAACCTTAATTCAGGGTTGGCCTTCCCCTTATTTTAGGAAAAGGCTTCAGTGACTACATTAGTACTAATGTACTATTCTTCTCAGAATTGAGAAAACAATGGGACATCAAACCAAAGAGGATCCCATTGGACAGAGTTGCCCATTCCCAGAGATGAGACTTTCTCTGAGCGCCAGCCTTTACACCACCAATTTAAGGGAAATAGCAGATTTTCCCTTACACAGGCCCTCCTGCAATATTTAACAGATCTGTTTGGTTTTTGAAAACAAAACTATTTGTGACTTGTAGGGAGGAAGGATGTAAGACCATCAAATCAGCTCCTGTGACCCTAACTACCACAGGAACACTTTATAAGGCTTGGTGGAAACCCAAAGCCTACATCCTCATGGGCACCATCTAACACTTGCCTAGAACTACCTATATGGAGTTGTTTTCTTCCTGGACACTATTTCTCTTGCTCCTGTCTACAAAGGCACATCACAAGTGAGCTCACCGCCAAAATCCTTTCTTTTGGCAGGTTCAATCTGTTTTGTTAGGCTTCTGGGACCTCCAGGGTTTGGTGCTGGCTTTGGGCCACTCAAGTAAGAAAGATGATTCAGATTCACTGGTTATGACATGGCTTCAAAAACACCAAAAAGGGGAAAAATACTGACTAAACATACAGGAAGGGATTAGGCCTCGAAGAGCCATAAAGGCAGAGGCACAAAAGCTTCCCAGGTGTAGAAGACTCAGTGTCACCCTGATGCCTCTCAGACACCAGGCAGTGGCACTGATGGAGGCACTCCTTGTGATTTTCCTAAGGCTCTTCTCATTGCCCCCACTGAACCCTCTGAGATACCTCTTCTCTTGGAGGCATCCTTCAGAGCTGGGAAATCCCACCCTGCACTGGCCACAGCCTGAAACTCCAGCAGTGTGATGAGGCGGGACCTGCCCTTTGTCTACTCCTCACGGAAGACATTTCAATCAACCCTCAGAGGAAAAGCATTCTAAGCCCACTTTTCCTCCTAAAGCATTTAGCTGCACGAAGTAATTGAACTTTCTTAAAACAAACCCTAGATTGACTCCACCAGACATTTTCCTGGACTCTGGGCTCCTGAGAGGGCTCAGAATACTTTGCCACTCTCCAGAGGAACCTGGGTGGGCCACACATGGTCCCAGCTTGCCCCCATTTCACACTTTTCCCTCCCCCACCCAGAGGTGCAATGCCTGGTGCTGAATTCCCATGGCAGCTTCCAATCAACGATGAAAATGACAAATGGGATATGAGCTGCTACCAGCGCGATTAAAGTGAGCACCGTGTCTCCTCTTCAAAGGGGGGATCAACAGATGAGGTATGCTGCTGCTATGGCAGTCACTGGTGACAAAGCTAGGGCCATAGGGCCCTTCCATTCTCCAAAACAATAAAATCACTCCTAGATCCTATCTAAAAGGCAATGCCACTCTCCAAATGTACTAGGAAAGTGCTTCAGAGCCTCCGCCTTGCGTTCCTTGTCTGCAAGTGAACAAAGCCAGGAAAGCTGCTCTCTGCGTTCGGTAGGTGTGCTGTGAAGTATTCTGGATCCCAGTTTCCTGGGGGCAATATAGGCTCAGGAGACTAGAGGCTGGGTCGACAGGAGTCTGTTCCCAGAAGGCACCAGGAATCTGAATCTAAGTCAGGCTTCGGATCCATTTCCATCTCTTCCTTTGTTGTCTGAGTTCCTCTGGAATGCATCCCCACCTGTCCAGAGAAACCAGTTCCATATTAGCAACAGTGCCATCGGGTCCCAGCAATTCAGGACTGTTTTCAATGTTAATTTCCAAAGGTTTGTATCCACATTTTTGAAGGAAGTTCATGGCACCAACTTGGAAAATATCCATATCTTTACATTTGTGGCAGGCAAGGTTCCAACTGCTGTGGTTTGCCTAGGACTACAGGGTTTCCTGGGACACAGAACTCGGTTTTAAAACTGAAACAGTCCTGGACAAAATTATCTTCCTGCCTACTAGAGCTGTCAATCTTACCTCAAGTGTATATATTACTTTCTAAAATACTTTCAGAGGCATTCTTTCATTTAATCCAAAAACAAAAAACAAAATAAAGAAAACCCTTGATATGGAGTGGGTTGCGGGAAGCCATCCATGAGTAACATGAAGGTCTTCTCTCAGTATGGTAGCCAGGGAGACTTAGGTTTGGATTTTCGAACTTCCATGGCTCTCCCCTGGCAATAGATTGCCCAAAGCACTTGACCTTTATCTCCACTCTGCTAGGAAGATATTTCATAGTAGCCCCGTGGGGGGAATCAGGCAAGAGTTGGCCATATTATTTTCTTCTTTAGGTGAGTAACCAGGGCTCAGAGAAACAAAGGAATGAGTCCAAACACATTTAGTTAATAAATAACAAAGCCAAAGGCTGAATCTATTTCTCCACTCCTAGAGAGTACAGTCTATATGCAGCAATACCAGGGCCCTTTAAAGATGGCACAAACACCATCATTTGTGAAGCACTTTTCCCAAACCATTTAACCTGAATCTAACCAAACCTTAAATCCAACTTCTAGTTTTCAGAAAAGACACAGTGAAAGAAGAACAAATTAAATATTACCCCAGGGGAATAAGACAGATCTAAAACGTGGGACACTTAAACATATGGCCCAATTTATTTAAAAAAATTAACATCATGAAACTATTTAAAGTAGTGATAGTGGTGTAGGCAATTGTTCTAGGTTAAACAAGGCCAATCAAATACAATGTGGTCTTCCTGATTCAATTCTAGTCTGATAAAGGACATTTTTGTGGAAAAACTAGGAAAATTTCACAGTGGGGTACTACATGAAATTGAGAATATTTATTTAGTGTCAATTTGTTAGGTGTGATAATGAAAATACTGTTGTCTAGGACAATAAATATATTTTAGGAAATGTGAGGCTTAACATCTTTCATAATAAAAGTAAAAGAAAAAAGCAAATAGGAGCAACAAACAGGAACACCCCCCCCCCCACACACACACACAAAATGGAAGTTAGGTGATGAAACTGATTCAATCCAGGTGCCTGAACAAGGTCCAATACTTCGGGATTCATTACAAAATTTACACCATGAAAGGTACAGACTTGCAAAAGAATTAATGTATCCAGTGCTTGGTGTTTTGTTTCTGCGATTAAAAAAAAAAAAAAAAAAAAGACTCAGAAACTGAATGATTCTTTCAATGCTCTCACCTGCTGCCCTCCTTCTAATTTTTTGTTCAGTTTCTGCAGTTGTGTAAAAATCTGGAGGTTTTCTTCCTGGAGCTTCTGTTGTTCAGTCAGACACTTTAACACCAAACCCTGCAATCTCTCCACCTCCATCTGCAGAGTGCTGCACACACAGGCAGTAGTCAACGGTGTTCCCTTCCCAGCACATGGTACTGCAGGATTCAACCGTGATGGCTGGGGACAAGAAAGAGAGATTGCAGGACAGTCTGCTCAGGTGCTATAGTTCCCCAATCCAAACAGATTTTACTTTTAAACTACGATGATAAAACATATACACACAAGAACAGGTCTAAGAGAAAAAGAAAAGTGCTGGGATTACATAGTGCCCGGAACTGACAGAACAAGGGAACTCTCCGCACCTTCATCTGTACTAGGCTAAGGTAAAAGAACAGTGACCTATTTTGAAGGATTCTGTAAACAATTTTAAAGTGCATAATTTAGTTTGGAACAAGTCCTTCTGATCACAGTGGAGGACAGTGTGATCTAAAGGGTCAACGTTTATGAAATGTAGTGGATCACTCTGAAAAATTTGAGAGGTGTGACTGCCAGCACAATTCAAGAAGGCTAATTCACCATTGAGTTTCAAAGGTTTTATTACTTCTTCTGGGAAGGTTTTCAATTATCCTAGTCTGAATTTTCTTCCTTTTTCTATTGTACTTTCCTAACAGCCAGGGTCAACAAATGACAGCCCATGTGCCGATTCTGGCCTACTGCCTGTTTTATAAATAAAGTTTTATTGAAAGACAAGCATGCTCATTCATTATGTTATGGGTCAAGCATCCCTAATCTGAAAATTCCAAATGCTCCCAAATATAAAACTTTTGGGCATTACTGACATGATGCCTATGAAAAATTCCTCATCTGACTTCATGTGATGGATAGTGATCAAAGAACAGGCACAATAAAATAGTGTATAAAATGTCTATGAAATATAAATTTTGTGTTTAGACTTGGGTCCCAGTTCCAAGATCTCATTATGTACACGCAAATATTCAAAAATCTGATAAAATTTGAAATCCAAAACACTTCTGGAACTCAAGCATTTTGGATAAAAGATACCCATCCTGTATTTGGGGTTGCTTTTGTGCTGTGATGTCAGAATTGAATAGTTATAAGAGATTGAATGGCCTGCAGAGTCTAAAATACTTACTACCTGGCCTTCTATAGAAAACTTTGCTGCCTTCCCATTCAGAAGTTTTTTTTCCCCATATCCTTTAAAAAAATTTTTTTAAACATTTGTTCTTTTTAGATATACATGACAACAGAGAATATTTTGACATATTATACAATTTCCCATTCTTGTAGTTGTACTTGATGGGGCGTTATACTGGTCATGCATTTATATATGAGGATAGAAAAGTTATGTCTGACTCATTCTACTGTTTTTTTGGTTTGCAGTTTTATTGAAGTATTTACCACAATTTCATTTCTGCTGAGACTGGGTGCACCTGTTACTCCCACCCTGCGCTTCAAGCATTACTTCTTATAGTTACAGCTTCCAACCCATCCTAGCAGTATCATAAAAAACTAAATCAGAATTCCAGAATTTCAATTTTGGTACTTTTGAGGCAGAGTGAAAAGAGAACGCTCAGTGTAAAAAGATGTTAATCTTCCAGAAATGCAACAGGTAAAATACTGATCCAAGGCAGCTCAGTTTAGCCTTGGGTGGAAAGTTATAGGACTAGTAGACAGAAGAGTACAGAGTGGATGCAGGGCAGCCAGAAGACCAGGGAAGCCAGGGGACATAGTGAGTCCAGAAGGACCAGGCAAAGCTTGCAGTTACTCTACTCAGTTGGCAATTCAAGGTAAAAAGCTGTTACCCAGGCTCCCACTGGGGACTTGTGCTCTGGAGGAACTGTGGAGGGCACTTTGAGTCCTTGCAGCTCTTCATAGGGCAGGGTATCTTTTTCAGATTCTGAAAATGCTGCACTCAGGGGAGATGGGCTATCAGGCATGGGGATGAATTCTGCATTTTCCAGCTCCTATGTACATGAGAAAGAATCTCATCAATTGTTTGCAGAAATTTTATTTCTCTCAAATTCCCGTCTTACTTTTGCTCTAGCTTTCATTCTGTTGTAACATCAGCACCCTCTAGTGGGGCAGATTAGCTGTGGTTAACAACATAGCTCACCCTTACTGGGAACAAAACCGCCAAACCTTTCAGTGGTAAAGTAACAATGATGCAAATTCAGACTCAAGTTCAAGAACAGAGTCTGGAATATCTGGTGCATTTCCAACACATTTACTTCTGACAGGCTATTCAATGAGTGGGGAGGCTTGAAGGTGATGACAGTAAGGTTAACTGCTAGACTGCTAAAGACTATGGCTGAGGCTGTGCTTATATTCTTCAAATAACTATCAAGTTTAGTCTTGTTGGTTAAGGAATTTTAAATCTGTAGTTCTTTTTTTTTTTTTGAGAAAAAATTTTAAACTTCACAAACTTTATGTTTACGTATACAATACAAATGGGCAAAGGAAGCTAATAAAAACCACCAGCAATTCACCAGATAACCACTGTCAAAATGATCACTATACAGTCTTGTTCATATTCTTTTGGGTTACATATTTAATTAATTTTCTACAAAAATAAATATATTTCAATATCATTTTTACTATCTGAACCTCAACTTTGATAAATTATATTTCTATTGTAAGGCATTCCAATTGCCCCAATATTCCACTTTTAAAAAGAGAACAAAAATCTATGAACTTCTTAGTATTTGCACACATGCACTACAAAAACTGCCTTCTAAGTAGAATATATATTAATGTACAGTCTATTTAAGTTATACAAATATGAGGATGTTTTCTATCACTTTTATTAGAAAGAAAAAAGGAATTAACATTTTGGTGATTTTTTTCCAGGTAGAAATCAGAAACCTAGATTCTTGCCACAAAACGGTTTAACAGGACAAGGTAAACCAAGAGATCCTGAGATCTCTTTTCCAGTCCTTGCAAAGGGATGGATATATATATATATATATATTTTATCTGAGATATATCTTCCAAAGGAATTACCTTACGAAGCCAACCAGGACAGGAGCTGCTAGCCCCACAACTATTCCCCATGGCCTCCGTGGGACTGATTAAACCTTCCATTCCTCGGTCTGCTTCCATTGTTCCTCGGAAGCCTCCACTTGGGTCAGGAGTTTCAGATTCCTGCTGACTGTCCTCCTCTTCGCCACCACCACCAGGGCCGCCGCCACCAGCTCCTGGGCTAGAGTTCTGAACCACTGACAGATAAATGGCACAGAAGTATAGAGCTTTGCTATGAAGTAATAAAGATTTAGCTTCTAATGGTCCCACTTACCCCTGGAAAGGTTCCTAAGTGTTGCATGAAGTAGAATGGCTATAGTGCAAGTCAGATATTTGAGACTAAATTGTTAAGATTTTATACAACGTATCTTTATGTCAGGATCTTCATAACTGAAGTTCATTTCTATTTTCTGAATTTGCTTATCCTATATTCACAGCAGATTATCAATATTATAATGCATTACCGAACAATCCCTTCAAACACAGTTCACTAGATGGAGTGCCCATGCTTACTATGCATCTTTAACAAATACATTCAGACTCCAGCATCCTCCACTGACATTCACCTCATATAAAAAGTTTAAGTGCTTGCTTCAGCACTACTATTCTAAAATGGGAATGATACAGAGATTAGCATGGCCTTGCACAAGGATGACATGCAAATTTGTGAAATGTTCCATATTATATTAAAAATAAAAGTAAAAAGAAGTTCACAAAAACATTTGAGTCAAACCCCTCTTAAAGTTGCCAAATAAACTCACCACTGGCAACTCCTTGTCTGGGGAAACACTCAAATAGTGAATTCTTCAACATTCATGTAAGTGTTAAATTCATTGATGATTATTTGTATGTTTTTATTTTATTTTTAAAAATATTTATTTTTTAGTTTTTGGCAGACACAACATCTTTGTTTGTATGTGGGGCTAAGGATCGAACCTGGGCTGCACGCATGCCAGGCGAGCGCGCTACCGCTTAAGCTACATCCCCAGCCCCAATTATTTGTTTGTTTAAAAAAAATTTTTTTTTTCCTACTAGGGATTGAACTCAGGGACACTTTACCACTAAGCCACATCCTGTGCCCTCTCTATTTTTAAATTTTGAGATGGGGCCTTGCTAAGTTGCTGAGGCTAGCCTCAAACTTGTAATTCTCCTGCCTCAGCCTCCTCAGTTGCTGGGATTATAGGCATGTGTGACTATTTGTATGTATTTTAAAAATATGGCTGGTTCAAGCTACTATAATTAAGACTAGCTGATGTGCACTCAGGAAATGCAAATGAATTTTGATGTGGGCCAAAGAAAAATATAAGAAAATAAATTTGCCCAAAGCTAAAAAAGTATTTCTTGAAGCGAGGTGCAGTAGCACCAAGAGACTCAGGAAGTTAAGATAAGAGGATTCCGGGGCTGGGATTGTGGCTCAGCAGTAGAGCACTCACTTAGCACAGGCGGGACTCGGTTCGATTCTCAGTACCACATAAAAATAAAGGCATTGTGTTGTGTTCATCTACAAAAAAAAAAAAAAAAAAAAAATTCTCTCTCTCCTTAAAAAAAAAAAAAGATAAGAGGATTCCAAGTTTAAGGTCAGACTCAGCAATTTAGCAAGACTGTCTCAAAATAAAAAACAAAAAGGAGGAGTAGGGATGTAGTTCAGTGGTAAAACACCCTTGGGTTCAATCTCAGTACAAAAAATAAAAATAACTATTCATAATATATTCTAAGGTTAAATGTAAAGGATCGCTTATCATCATCCCATGTTATGCTGGCTTGAGGACTGACTACTATGCTATACTAGGATCCTACTCCAGCAGCTTTAGATATGTAGATTCCAACATAAGCTCTTGAAGCTTGGTTTTTTTACTCTAAAATAAAATACATGATGCTATCACTAAAAGTAGAATTGTGCTATCCAATAGAGTAGCCTTTAATTGTATGCAGCTGCTGTGTGCAGTGGCACATGCCTGTAATCCTAGTGGCTTGAAAGGTTGAGGCAAGAGGACAGCAAGTTCAAAGCTAGCCTCAGCAACTAAGCGAGACCCTGTCTCCAAATAATATATAAAAAGGGCTGGGAGCCAGGAGCTGAGGCGCACACATGTAATTCCAGCGGCTCAGGAGGCTGAGGCAGGAGGACTGCAGTTCAATGCCAGCATCAACAAAAGTGAGGCACTGAGCAGCTCAGTGAGACCCTGTTTCTAAATAAAATACAAAATAGGGATGAGGATATGACTTAGTGGCCGAGTGCTCCTGAGTTCAATTCCCCAGTACGTGCCCACCCTCCCAAAAAAGGACTGGGGATGTGGATCAGTGGTTAAGTGCCCCTGGGTTCAATTCCTGGCTAAGAAAAAAAATGTATGTAGTCATTTAAATTTAAATAAAATTACGTTGTGATTCTGCAATCTGTATATGGGGTAAAAATGGGAGTTCATAATCCGCTTGAATCAAATGTATGAAATATGATATGTCAAGAGCTTTGTAATATTTTGAACAACTAATAATAAAAAATTAAAAATAAATAAATAAATTTAAATAAAATTAAAAATTCAGTTCCTCAGTCACATTAGCCACTTTTTGAGCACTCTATAACCACATGAGGCTAGTAACTACTCTTCTGGATAGCACAGATATGGAACATTCCCACTGTCATTGAAAGCTCTGACACTCATTTTATCTGTCTAGAGAATTCCCTCCTTCTTTGGCCTCCTACCCAGATGAAATCATTCTTGATTAATTTTATTTTTTTAATACTTTATTTTTTAGTTTTCGGTGGACACAACATCTTTATTTTTTATGTGGTGCTGAGAATCAAACCCAGCGCCACGAATGCCAGGTGAGTGAGCTACCGCTTGAGCCACATCCCCAGCCCTTGATTAATTTTATATATGTCATTTCTTCTTAAAAAGATTTTATCAAGGGGCTGGGGATGTGGTTCAAGCGGTAGCGCGCTGGCCGGGCATGC